ATGTATTATAATATAATTATAATAAAGCCTTGCTCAACGTCTTTGAACCATTTCTTTATAAGACTATCCATAAGATTGATTTAACACTTTAGTCTATTTGATAACACTTACCCTATTTGTTCCTTCAATTTATTTAAATCGTAGTGTATTCTGCTGGCATGGAACATTTATTGCCAGCTCGTAGTCCTCGGGAGGACTACTTGCCGACTACTTTTTTTCGGCTTGCGGATTGTAATTATAATAAATCAATTATGACCAATAAATTAATATATATATAAATACAGGGCTATGTGTTCTACTTAAGCACAATTTAAACACTAAAAATGAAAATGTGTTAAGCACTAGTAATTGAGTATTCATTTTCTTATTAAATTTTATTAATTTTCGATCATGAATTTCTTTAAATTATAAATACTACACTTGAATTTTACAAAAATACGAAAAAAAAAATTATTGAATTTTATCTCTCTATAAACCCTTTCTATAGACCCTCTATAAAGACCCTCTATGAAGATTTTACTGTCTGAAAACTTTACTGTGTGAAGACTTTACCCTATGAACATTTTCCTCTATGAAGACTTTCCTCTATGAAGACTTTACTCTATGAAGAATGTATTTAATGAAGACTTTCTTCTACGAAGATTTTACTCAATGAAGATTTTACTCTACGAAGACTTTCCTTTATGAAGACCTTACTCTATGAAGACTTTACTCTATAAAGATTGTACTTAATGAAGACTTTACTCTATGAGAACTTTCCTTTAGGAAGACTTTACACTAAGAAGACTTTCCTCTATGAAGATTTTCACCTATGAAGACTTTACTCAATGAAGACTTTACTCAATGAAGACTTTACTCAATGAAGACTTTACTCAATGAAGACTTTACTCTATGAGGACTTTTCTTTATGAAGACTTTACTCTATGAAAACTTTTCTCTATAAAGACTGTACTCAATGAAGACTTAATTCTATGAGAATTTTTGGTGTCCAAGGTTGCTACTCCAACCTAACCCAACTTTAATTTTCAGTCCCTAATAGCTGTAACTTATCATTGGCGTCTCTTTAAACTTTCTAAATGTGTAAAACTTTGATTTCATTTTGAATTTTTTCTAGAATAATAAAATCGTCATAAGACAATAGAAACTTAGGCAGGAGGAAATCCGTGCACTTAATAAATATTGTGTCTTCTACTTAGTTTTATTTATGTTTATCAGAAATTTATGAGTTTTATTGAGGCTTCTGTAATAAAAACATCATTAAATATGAACAAGCAATAAAAATGGGAATGTGTAAGAAAATATTTTAATTTGCATAGAAATAATATCACTAAGCAGCTGCTCATAAATACCTGTGATTTCGGGCTCATTTATCGGCAAATGCCAAAGGAGGAAGAAATTGCAACATCCGCATTTTTATGGTTGCAATAAATGAGCTATAAACGCTCAATTTATGACAATGACAACTTTTTTCGAGGCTTTCCTCCAGTTAAGCTCTACTCCGTGTCATTTTTGTGTAATTCTTGCCTTTAAAAATTTATTAAAAATTCCATGCATGTCTTCCTAAGCAGCCAAAATTGAGATTTCACATGAATATAAATCAGTTGCATGCGCTTAACGTGTACCGCTTAACGCTGATGTATGTCTTATTTGTTGTTTTGGCTTTAAATACAATAAAATAAATAAAAAGGCAAAATAAAATAAATAAAAATATCAAAAACAAAATAAATGGAATAAAAAATTCTTTTCAGATGCAGAGTTATTTGAGCATATCAAAGAGTCGTCAGTGTGGCACGTACCAAAATATTCACAACTGTATAATGCGAAATCCTGGCACACATATATGCAGTAATCTGCCGCTAAATATTCTGACTTCCTAATCAACTTGTAGGCATCAACAATATCATCAACAGCATCATTATCATCAACAACATCATTGGAACGTAATGCCAATAAATACCAAAGAATTTGTCATTGTTGTGTAATGCGCTTTTTATTGATGCCCCCCTGTCAGTTGCATAAAAAATGGCATATAAATGTTTGTTATTAAAAATATTTTGATCTCTTAAGCATTTATTTATGATAAAACCCTGGGCAGCTGCCTACTCGTTAACACATCAACAACCTGCTTTGGCGTGGACAGCCAAATCAATCTCCACCATGACAAATACTTCCTCTTTTGTTCACTTTATTGCTCGATTTGTAGATGTTTTCGGAGCTTGTCATCAGCGACCACAACATATTTTCGTATAAATTACAAATTTTTATGAAAACTTTTAAAAACCATTTTTTCCATTCCAAATTTCTACTTAATTTACTATCGAGTATCTATGATCTTTCGTTGTCTTCTCATTGTCAGATTGGGTTGTCATGCGAGCATTTTTAAAAATTTGTCCAACTTGTGTTGCATTTTCTCATTTGATTGTGGCTTTGTCTGTTTTTTGTCTGTCGCATTGCACCTATAAATTTCAATTACGGATTTGTGGCATTCTTTGGAGTTTCGACCCATTTTGGTTTAGTCTCATACGATTTATTTTAATGCTGCACGCCCAATTGGCTTGGTTTGCTTTCGTTCCCCTCCACTGGGATTGAGTTGCACTAAGCATATTTACACGTTTCCATTTCGTTTAGTTAATTGGATGGATTGTGGTTTTGTATCATATGATAATATATTGACATATTGATATTATCATTATGATTACTTTCATTCTCTTAATATGATAATCCAAACCGTATAATTAAGTTATAAATTGTTCTTTATAAAAGAGTTTGTGTACAATTTATTCCCTTTTCATTTTGATTGAAAATTTAAAACCAGATAAATGCTTTTGGTTTGTTTGTAATTTAAATCAAAAAAAAAAAAATTAAATTGAAATGTAAATCTTATGCAACAAAATAATCTGATTGATTTTCTTATGTCTTAAATTGGGCAAAAAATATTCGACGTTTATTAATTACAATTAAATACAATATTAATTTCAAAATTGTTACAAAATAAGTTGCTTCATAGTTTAATATATTTAAATACACAAAAAATATTCTATCTTTATTATTTAATATTAGAAAAATTTTGTTTTATAATTGCAACAAAAAAAAAAATTGCTTGATTTTCCAACATATAGAGTTGGGCAAAAAATATTCGGCGCAAATTAATTAAAATTAATTATATTTATTTAAAAATCGTCACAAAATAATTTCATATTTAATATATTGAAATGACTAAAAAAAAAATATTTAGCGTTATTTAATTAAAATTAAAAATTATTTTAAAATCATAACATTTATAGGCTGCTTGATTTTCTCACATAAGAGTTGGGCAAAAAATATTCGGCATTTTTTAGTTCATATTAGAAAATATTTTATTTTATAATTATAACAAAATAAGCTGCTTGATATTCTAACATTTGGTTACATTTTTCTAACAGCTTCTTAATTGAAATCAAATAATTTTTTTTTTAAATTATAACAAACTAAGCTCCTTGAATTTCTGGCGTAATGAGTTGGATAAAAAGTATTCGGCGTTTTTTAGTTAATATTAGGAAAATTTGATTTCGAATTTGTAAAAAAATAAACTGTTTGATTTTATAACATATTAGACTGAAATATATTTGATATTATTAGTTAGAATTGGATATATATATATATCCAATATCTTCATATATTGGATTTCAAGAGCATTTTTCTTAATGAATCCATCAGACAATTTCGGTAAGAACTATTGTTTCTTTATTGCATAGGTCTGAAGTTTTCTCTTTTTAAAAACTAATAAAGTTTTTTTTTCATTATTCCTTTCGAAAACTCCCAGTGCTACTTTAGAATTCTGTGATAGTGTCTACACGGTTGCCACTTATGGTACTTTAGTACCAAAATTGGTACTTTTTTTTTCGTTTGGTACTCATGTTCAAAAAATGGTTCATTTTTGACGACCCAACTTTATTGTGGATATTTCCAATTAATTTTTTTTATAAATGCA